TTAAAGAAAATTATCTTAACTTCAGTGACAATGACATACATCTGAAATTGATTTTTATTATTGTTTTGCTATCAGCATTAGGACCAGAGGCTTCCAACCAGCAAGTCTGCTGTTTTCCTTCATCCTTGCTGTCATGTAGAGCCATATTAGTTGCATTTGACCAACTTTAAAATATGTTCATTTCTGGTTTTGTTCACCTTCATTTTTTCCCGTGTTTTTGGACATGAAGAAAGCTCTTAAATAAAAATAAAATTTTTTCATAACTTAAAAAATATTCTATTTGTTTTTTTCTTCAATCCTTTTAAATCATCAAGTCAAAGTACAAAGATATTGTTATATTGACTACTGAGAATTGATTTGTTAATGGATTTTTTTATCTCTAAAGACAATTTTCAAAGTGTGGTCTGGAGATCCAAGACCCCTTCGGGATCTCTGTAGGGGAGAAATTATTTTCACAGTAATACTAACATGTCATTTGCCTTTTTAACTCTCATTCTCTCATGAGTGTAGAGTGTAGTTTTCTAGAGACTACATGGTACACGAAGTTGGAATAGCTTGTATGCAAAAACAGATGTGAGATTCCATCAGTCTTCTTTTAAGCCAGCCATTAAAGAGACTTGAAAAAATGTAAAACCACACCTCATTTTTCACTCTCTTTAATATAGATTTTTCATTAAAAATATATAATTTACAGTAACATATACTTTATGAGTGAATTAATGTTTTTTAAACTATTCAGTTTTAATTTCAAATATAATATTATTGACAGATATAACCTATATAAACAAAGCTCTTTAAGACCCTCAGTAATTTTTAAATGTGTTAAAGGAATCCCGAGACCAAAAAGTTAGAGCCAGTAATCTATATGACATTTTTTATTCTCAAATGTTTGAACTTTATATTCATTCTGCTTTTTTATAAAACAAAATAATCTGTTTTTAGGTTGCTACAAACCTCAGGAAAGATCAGATTACTTGATGTTGGCAGCTGCTTTAACCCCTTTCTGAAGTTTGAAGAATTTCTAACTGTTGGCATAGACATTGTACCTGCTGTAGAGGTATGCATAATTATGTTTTGTTTTGATATTTGAATAATTTACATGTATATTTACAAAGGAAAAGCACTCTTTACATTCCTGAAGTAGCAAATATATTTACTATTGTAACTTGATAAGAGATTTTTTCTATTTGAAACTAAATGTATATTACATGAAATTTTTTGAGCATTTGGTTAACCAAATTTTTGAGCGTTTGGTTAACTTGACCAGTACCATATTTTTATTTTTGCTATTTTTCTTCCCTGTTTATCATCTATTGTCGTAGTCTGGAAACTTTAGTAGATTGCAGAGATTTCCAGATAGCTGTAGTGTTTGGGCTTTTTGTTTGGATTTTTTTTTAATGTATCTCTTACTGAAATGTGTTATGATATAGAGCCATTATGGAATAGTGGAAAGAACAAAAGTGCTGGAGTCAACCAAAATTTTATTAAGTCCCAGCTATTTGTTGTACTTAGTACATGAAACTGCTTACCTGTACACAGAATGTTTCCTTTACTTTTGAAATTAGATGATTTTTATTGACATAAATTGGTTTGCCATTTTACTTTTGATGTAACACCAGGTACGCAATTTACAAATCGCTTTTTTATTGTTATAAAGAGACTGTACGTTAGAGTATAAATGCTTTGGATTAGGAATTTTGTTTTCCACACTGCTATCTTCCCAGCACCCAGAAGCATGCCTTGTATATTAAGTAATCAGTAAGTACTTTTTGAATAAAAGAATGTAATCTTACTTTTAACATAAATTTGAATCTCAGCCTCAGTTTACTCATCTATGTAATGTTTATAATGAAGTTAGTAGTGCACCATACTTCATAAGGTTGTCGTAATGTTTACACAAGAAGAAATATTTAAAGCACATAGCGAAGTACTAGTTACATAGTGAATGCGAATGAAGTAATTGCTGTTATTGTTAAAATATTTCTACATAAACATTCAACTTTTTTTTTTTTTTATGGTGACATTGGTTAATGAAATCCAGAAAGTTTCAGCTGTACAGTTTAGCACTAAGGCATGTATATATATTGCATTGTGTGTTGACAGCCCATAGTTAGATTTCTTTCTGTTACCACATATTTGACCCTTTTCCCACCATCTACCTCTTTCTCCCCGCTTCCTTCTGGTAACCACTAGTCTATTATCCTTGGCCATGAGTCCTGTTTATTTGTCCTGTTCGTTTGTTGCTTTTAGGTTTATATCCCACATATAAGTGATATGTGATTTTCCATTTTTTCTGTCTGGCTTATTGCACTTAGCATTATTATCTCGAGGTCCATCCACATTGTTGCAAATGGCAATGTTTCATCTCTACTTATGGCTGAGTAATATCCCATTGTATATATGTACCACAGCTTCTTTATCCAATCATCTATCGTAAGACACTTCATTTGCTTCCATGTCCTGGCCACAGTGAACAGTGCTGCTATGAACATCAGTGTGCAAATATCTTTTCGGATATGGGTTTTCAAGTCTTTGCAATAAATACCCAGTAGAGGGATTGGTGGATCATATGGTAGATCAATTCTTAGTTTGTCGAGAAACCTCCATACTGTTTTCCAGAGTGGCTATACCAATTTCCACTCCCACCATCAGTGTATGAGGGTTCCTTTTTCTCTGCATCCTCTCCAACATTTATTATTACTTGACCTGTTGATTATAGCTATTCTAACAGGTGTGAGACGGTATCTCATCGTGGTTTTGATTTACATTTCCCTAATAGATAGCGATGTGGAACATCTTTTCATATATCCGTTGGCCATTTGTATGTCCTCTAGGGAGAAGTGTCTCTTCAGATCCTCTGCCCAGTTTTAAATTAGTTTGTTTTTTTGTTGTTATTGAGTGCTATGAATTCTTTGTATATTTTGTATATTAGGCCCTTATAGATGCATTGCTTGCAAATTTCTTCTCCCATTCGGATAGATGTCTCTTTCCTTTGTTGACAGTTTCTTTTGCTGTGCAGAAGCTTTTTGGTTTGATGTAGTCTCATTCATTAATTTTGGCTTTTATTTCCCTTGCCTTTGAGGCCAAATTCATAAAATCCAAGTCCTTGAGTTTAGTTCCTCTGTTTCTACTATGTAATTTATAGTTTCAGGTCTTACATCTAGGTCCTTAATCCATTTTGAGTTAATTTTGGTGTGTAGTGATAGACAACAATCTAGTTTCATTCTTTTGCAAGTGGCTTTCCAGTTTTCCCAGCACCATTTATTAAAGAGGCTTTGCTTTCTTCACTATATGTTTTTGGCTCTTTTGTTGAAAATTATTTGCCCATATAAACATGGATTTTATTCTAGACTCTTGATTCTGTTCCACTGGTCTGTGTGTCTGTTATTCTGCCAATACCATGCTGTTTTGATTACTGTCGCTTTGTAGTAAAATTTGAAGTCGGGCAGAGTGATGCCTCCAGCCTTGTTCTTTTTTTTGAGGATGGCTTTGGCGATTTGAGGTCTTTTGCAAAGCTTTCATACAAATCTGATGATTTTTTGTTCCATTTCTTTAAAAATTTCTGTTTGGATTTTGATGGGGATTACATTAAATCTGTATAATGCTTTAGGTAATAAGGTCATTTTAACTATGTTGATTCTTCCAATCCAAGAACATGGAATATCTTTCCATTTCTTTCTATCTTCCTTTTTTTTTTTAATAAAGGGTCTTATAGTTTTCATTATATAGGTCCTTCACATGTTTCATTAAATTTATTCCCAGTTATTTTATTCTTTTGTTGAAATTTTAATAGGAATTATTTTTTTCCACTTCTTTTTCTGACAGTTCATTATTAGAGTATACAAATGCTATGGATTTTTGAACATTGATTTTCTATCTAGAAACTGTACTGTATTTGCTTATTGTTTCTAGTAGTGTTCTTGTGGAATCTTTAGGGTTTTATGTATAGAGAATCATCATCTGCAAATAGTGACAGTTTGACTTCTTCGTTTCCTATTGGGATGCCTTTTGTATCTTTCTCTTGCCTGATTACACTCACTAGGACCGCCAATGTTATATTGAAGAACAATGGCAATAGCAGACAGCCTTGTCTTATTCCTGATCTTAGAGAGAAGGATTTTAGTTATTCACCAAGAAGTATAATGTTGGCTGAGGTTTTGTCATATATGGCCTTATTATGTTAAGATACTTTACTTCTAAACCAATTTTGTTAAGTGTTTTGATCATAAATATATGCTGGATCTTGTCGAAGGCTTTTTCTTCATCTGTTGATATGATCAGATGATTCTTATTTTTTAATTTGTTTATGTGATGTATCACATTAATGATTTGCGTATGTTGAACCATCACTGTGCCCCTGGGATGGAGCCCACTTGATTGTGGTGTATAATCTTTTTATTATGTTGCTGTATTCGGTTTGCTGATATTTTATTTAGGATTTTTGCATCTGTATTCATGAGAGATATTTGTCTGTAGTTTTCTTTTTTTATGTTATCTTTACTAGGTTTTGGCAATATTGGCCTTATAAAATCAATTAGGAAGTATTGCCTCCTCTTCGATTTTTTGGAAGAGTTCAAGGAGAATAGGTATTAAATCTACTTTGAATGTTTGGTAGAATTCACTGGTGAGGCCATCTGGTCCTATACTTTTACTTTTTGGTAGGTTTTTGATGATTGTTTCAGTTTCCATACTGCTGGTCGGTCTATTTAGATTTTCTAGTTCTTGATTCAGTCTAGGAAGGTTGCATTTCTAAGTACTTCTCTGTTTCTTCTAGGTTATTAAATTAAGTGTTATATATTTTTTAGAGTATTCTTATATGATCCTTTATATTTCTGCCTTATCTGTCATAATTTCCCCTTCCTTATCCCTGATTTTGTTTATTTGTGTCCTTTCTCTTTTTTCTTTAATGAGTCTAGCCAGGGAGTTGTCAATTTTATTATCCTTCTCAAAGAACCAGCTCTTTGTTGCATTTATTTTTTCTATTGTGTTTTTTTTTTGTTTTCAATTTCATTTCATTCTGCTCTAATATTAATTATTTGTTTCCTTCTGCTGATTTTAGTCTCTATTTGTTTCTTTAGTTTTTAAGATGAAGCGTTAGGTTGTTTATTTAGTCTCGTTCTTGTTTCTGGAGATGGGCTTGTAATGATAGGAACTTTCCTCTTATGACCACTTCTGTCGTATCCCAAAAGTTTTGATATGTTGTACTATCAATTCATTTCTCTGTATCTCTTGATCTCTCTTTTTATTTCTTCTCTGACCCAGTCATTCTTCAGTAGCATGTTGTTTAATCTCCATGTATTTGTGGTTCTTCTCACTTTCTTTTAACAATTGATCTCTAGGTTCAAAGTATTATGATCAGAGAATATGGTTGGTATGATTTCATCCCCCTGATATTTGTTGAGGCTATCTCTGTGTCCCAGTATGTGTTCAATCCTTGAGAATGTTCCATGTGCACTAGAGAATGTATATGCAGCTCTTTTGGGATCAAAGGCTCTGTAAATGTCAATTATGTCCAGTTAGTCTAATGTGTCATTTCAGGATGTTACTTCCTTATTGATTTTCTGTTTGGATGATCTGTCCATTTCTGACAGTGGGTTATTTAGATCCCCTACTAAGATACTGTTTTGGTCTTTTTCTCCCTTTACTTCTGTTAGTAATTTCTTTATATATTTCAGGGTTCCCTGATTGGAAGCCTAGACATTAAGTGTTATGTCTTCTTGGAGTATGATTCCCTTTATCATTATGAAGTGTCCCTCAGTATCTTTCTTTACCTTTTTGATTTTGATGTCTGTTTCTTCCGATATTGGTACTGCTACTCCCACTTTTCTCTGAATGCCATTTACTTGAAATATCATTTTCCACCCTTTCACTTTGAGTCTGTATTTGTCTTTGGAGCTGAGATGTGTCTCCTGAGGGCAGCATATGGTTGGGTTTTATTTTTTGATTCAATCTGCAACTCTGCCTTTTTATTGGTGAGTTCAGTCCATTTACATTTAGGATGATTATTGAAGTATGAGGTCTTACAGCCATTTTATCTTTTGCTTTCTAGTAGCTCGG